TGTGCTGTGTAGGTGTGTTCAAAATGGCAGATACGTACAGTTGACGAGACCAGCGAAGAATGGCTTGTCGGAAAGATCAGCGTCTGGGAAAAGTGTTAGCATCAACAGTGCTACAAGGTCTATTTCCTCATATACTGACAGTGCTTCTCGAGGTGGTCCTTTCCTGGGGTGGTGAGCTTGATGGCAGCAAGCTTGTAACTGTTTCCTATGTCAACAAAGCTCAAATATTCTTTGCAAAATGTAAACCTACCCACGAGCCTCAAATCGGCTGATGATTGGGCCAACGAGTCCACGCTGAATTCAATCTCAATCAGCATACTTTCATCCTCTTCTCTCTATGTAGGATAGTATTTGCATACCTGGACACCATCTGGCTTGATGGCAATGAAGCTATTCGACACAAAAACGTTAGTATACACCGCTAATACTTTGTTGACGTGGGGTAACTCTCTTTCAGGAGTAAAGAAAGCATCACTCTCATAGGAATAGATGGATAGAATAAGGAACTTACGTTTGTTCGGTAGACATGGTATCGTCGTTTAATCTGGCAGATTCTTCTCTGTGTTTTGCTGATGCTCTTAAGAGTGCTTGAGTTTTAGGATTGACGTGCTTTAAAATCGATTCGGGGGCTTCACTCATATTTTAAATTCTTTTAGGTTGAGGTGTGTTGTTTAGTGGGGTTTCCTTGGTGGGGTGTGGCAGGAGGGGCGGAGGGTACCCTTTCTTTGCTTGTGAAGCCTTAGATGTGAGGCATTAGCAAGGGTAACTTTATGTAATTCGCATAAATTCCCACCATGGTTCGTGGGCAATTGTATCGCCAATAAAACTTTATGCACATGTTATGCTAAAGGTACGACCGGGGAGCTGAGCTTTGATCGTCATTGGTGAAGCGGAACAGGACAGCTTGGAAACCTCAAACCCCCCCCAACATAAGACTTCAATTCTTTATGGTTCTGTTGTACAAGCCATTTGTTCATATATTGAGCTATTTAGCATCTTGATTTCATCTGAATTGAGTGCAATTGCTAGATATTGCATGTCTTTTCAATCATGAAGTCACCATTAAATCTGTCCTCACAATGGACTGGATATTTAGTTTTGTTATCAACATTTGGCAGCTTGATTACACCAGCTAGTGAGGATGCCAACAACAGCTTCATGTGTAGAACCCACTAACAATCTAAACAGTATCTGTTAAGCATGAGAATTTCAAAACATGCGATCAATCTGGATTCTGCAAACGAAATCGAGCATATGCGGATCAAGCAACAGTAGTGGGAGATAATTGGAGCTTACAAGCTCCTTATCGACTGGCTTCAGAGACGTTAACATGGAAGGATGGTCAGCTACAAGGAACCATCCTCAAGAAATTGAATGGAGGAGAGTCGGTCAGGTTACCGATTGTCATTTCGTTCCTCGAATCGGGATCTGCGAGAGTTACGATTGATGAAGAAAAACGTCAAACGGGCGAGATTGAATTAAGACATGGCAGTAAAGCTAGAAAGGAACGTTATAATGAGGCCGCAAACTGGGCAATCGTGGGAGGGTTGACTTTGAGTAAGGATGCAGAGTATAAGAAGTACCCTGGAGTTTCGCACATTACATTTGGCCCAGATGGCAAGTTCAAGGCGGAAGTTACACATGCTCCATTTGCAATCGATTTCAAGAGGGATGACGAGATACAAATTAAGTTTAATGAGCGGGGATTGATGAACATGGAACATTGGAGACCGAAGATTGAGAAGCCAGAAAAGAAAGAAGGCGAAGAAGAGTCAGCCGAAGTTCAAACCAGCGAAGATGAGTCGACCTGGTGGGATGAATCTTTCGGTGGAAATACCGACTCAAAACCTAAGGGTCCTGAGAGTGTTTCTCTTGATATTACTTTTCCCGGATATGAGCATGTTTTCGGTATCCCAGAACATGCTGGACCTTTGTCATTGAAGCAAACTCGAGGCGGAGAGGGCAATCATAAAGATCCTTATCGTTTATACAACGCTGATGTTTTCGAGTATATCATGGACAGTGAAATGACTCTATACGGAGCCATTCCTTTCATGCAAGCACATCGAGCAGCGTCAACTGTTGGTGTCTTTTGGCTGAACGCAGCCGAGACTTGGATTGATATTATCAAGGAGAAAGCATCCATCAATCCTTTGAGTGGAAAAACTGATACAAAAACTCATTGGTTCTCGGAGAGTGGTTTAATCGATGTATTTGTATTCCTTGGACCAACACCAAAGGATGTTACAAAAGCATATGGAGAGCTTACAGGCTTCACACAGCTTCCTCAAGAATTTGCCATTGGTTACCACCAATGTCGATGGAACTATGTTACCGATGAGGATGTGAAGGATGTTGACAGAAAGTTCGACAAATTCCAAATCCCTTATGATGTTATCTGGCTTGACATTGAGTATACCGATGGAAAGAAATACTTCACTTGGGATCCTCACACTTTCGGAAACCACGTTGACATGTTGTCGCACTTGGATAAATCCGATCGAAAACTTGTTGCAATCATCGACCCTCACATCAAGAACGAAGCAAATTATAAGGTTGTTGATGAATTAAAGAGTAAGGATTTGGCTGTTCACAACAAGGAGGGCAGCATCTATGAAGGTTGGTGTTGGCCAGGATCTTCCCACTGGGTTGACGCATTCAATCCTGCAGCAATCAAATGGTGGAAGAGTCTCTTCAAGACGGCTGCCTTTGATACGCCTAATCTCTTCCTTTGGAATGATATGAATGAGCCATCGGTTTTCAATGGACCAGAAACAACTATGCCTAAGGATAACCTACATTTCGGAAACTGGGAACACCGTGATGTTCATAATGTCAACGGTTTGACCTTCGTCAACGCAACTTATGAAGCAATGGTCGAGCGCAAGAAAGGTGAACTTCGCCGTCCGTTCATTCTCACTCGTTCTTTCTACGCTGGAAGTCAACGCATGGGAGCTATGTGGACTGGTGATAACCAAGCTAGCTGGGATCATCTTGCAGCTGCGTTCCCTATGATTCTTAACAATGGTATTGCAGGTTTCCCATTTGCTGGTGCAGATGTTGGTGGATTTTTTGGTAACCCTGAAAAGGATCTTCTTACTCGTTGGTATCAAGCTGGTGCTTTCTACCCCTTCTTCCGTGGACATGCACATATCGACACCAGAAGACGTGAACCATATCTCATCGGTGATCCATACACGGATATTATAACCCAAGCTCTCCGTCTCCGTTACTCTCTTCTCCCTGCCTGGTACACTGCATTCCATGAAGCCAGTACAGATGGAACACCCATCATCAGACCACATTACTTCGAATATCCAGAAGACGAATCCGGATTCGCAATTGATGATCAATTTTTCGTCGGTAGTACTGGTTTACTCGCTAAGCCAGTCGTCACAGAAGGTGCCGATAGCGTCGAGATCTATATCCCTGACAGCGAAATTTACTACGATTACTTCGACTATACCATTTATACCGGCGCGGGGAAAACTACAATTGCAGCTCCTCTCGAGAAAATCCCTCTACTTATGCAAGGTGGTCATATCATCCCTCGCAAAGATCGTCCCCGCAGAAGTTCTGGCCTTATGAGATGGGATCCATATACTCTTGTTCTCGTTCTCAATAAAGAAGGAAAGGCAACTGGAGAATTATATGTGGATGATGGTGAGACTTTTGATTATCAATCTGGGGCCTACATTCATCGTTCTTTCTCCTTCGAAAATGGGGTATTGAGCAGTAAGGATATCGGAACAAAGGGCAAGTTGACAGATAAATATCTGAAGAGTATGAAGAAAGTAGGCGTAGAGAAGATTCTTGTTGTTGGTGCGCCAAAGGAGTGGAGTGGATTGAAGAGTGTAAAGGTGGGCAGCACAACGGCCGAGATCACGTACCATGCCGGGGAAGGAAACAAAGCTGCTTGGGCGTCGGTTAGAGCGCCAAAGGTAGCTATTGGAGAGGATTGGGAGGTGGAGTTTGTGGAGGGTGGCAGGACGGAATTGTAGTTGTGATTTAGCACCGATGAAGAAGGGTGGAGATTTACAGCGAGAATTCAGGATTAAGATGAGGATAGTAAATGATGATCGAATTGAACTGATATCCATTTGCAAGATCTGAAATTAGCTAAGTTCTATGGAGTAGTGAAACTACCCTGGTAAGATTACTATCATGAAACCTTTCTACTCGTCACTTTAATATCATTTGCCAAATAGGAGCACAATATGCCACGGTAATTCATTCCCAGCATCATATCACCCTGAACTTAAATCTAAAATCTAAAATCCAAAAACTTCTATTATCATTCTTTGTTTATACTCTCTTCTTCTTCTTCTTCTTCCATCCAATCTCAGAAGTAATACTACAATCTTCAAACCAAGAATCAAACAAAAAGCAAATAAAACTCCTCGCTATGAAATTTGGATATACAAACGAACGAACGAACATTGGATAACTAGGTAAGTGAAATCTACCCAAATTGGTTCTCAAAGCCAGATTTAAAGTTAACCTTGGAAACTCTAGACTTCAAACCAAACACCTGAAATGAAAGAAATTCAAATCCAAATTCAAATTCAAGAACGCCCAGACTCCTAGAAAGTATCCTTGCTTAACACCGTGGGTTGTGATTGTGGTCAATTTGTCTTCCTAAACTCCTCGCTACAATTTGAGTGTGGATTTTGTGCTGTTTGTGTGTGTGTGTATGTATTTATGTACCGAGTTGTGTAGGTAGGTACATGTATACACATGTAAGATTACAAAGCTTTGCTTTGCCTCTATTGTGTATTGTGTATTGGGTTATAATTTCTTTTGATTTTCATTCTGATTGTTGGTGTAATGCATTGATTTCGTTAGGGGATTTAATGCATGTAGGTGTAAAGTCGTGTAGTTAATTGTGTACAGGGTGTGTGGAGGTTGCGTTGAAGTTGCAGAGCGCAGGGGAGAGTAGGTCATAGGAGCGAGCAAAAATGGAATGGTAGGAGAATGGAGAAGCATAAGAAGAGAAATCATCAGATAGTAGCTGCAGCGGGACGAAGATCTTCGCGGCCATCTTGCCACGAGGTGCAGAAAACGCAGCGTTGTGCCTGGGGTTTACAATTGTGAGCAGGTTTAGATTATTCAGGGAGTTGGACTTGTTTGACGGGTGGTGAAAATAGTGATAGGGAAGAGGAATAGTAAGTGAGGAGGTATAAAATAAGAGGACAAGAACTCATAAGGAGAGAAAGAGGGGGAACAGGAAAGGAGAGAACAACGGGAAGTAAATAACACCACCTTCTCGAAAATCTTCTTGCGACAATATTTACAACGGACGGTGTGTTTGATGATAGCGTTGTCTTGACTGAAATACTGGTAGAGACCTGCTATGCCGTAAAGAGCGAGACCAACGCCTATGAAGTTTATCACTTTGTTTAGGAATGAACTAGAGAGGTTCTTAGTTTGTTGCTTTATTCGTGAGTCCTAGGGGGAAGTGGGAAGAGATAATGTTGGAGATAGAAAGAATAGGAGGAACATGAAGATAATGAAACGAACTTAGAAGGAAAAAGAAGAGAAAGCGCTAAGAAAGGAGAATATAAAGAAACAAAAACCTACCCCCAAGCCAAACACACAGCCCCCGTCATCTATCGCCTGCTTCAAGGTATTATAGCCTGCTCCATACAAAAATTCCATTCCCATGTTTACGACCATGGTTACGTTTCCCTCCACTCCCTCTCCAATTCCATCACCGATCTCAGTGTGGTTGTGAAGCATACCATCATAATGAGGACCGGGCCTCAAAACCGCAAATTTCTCTTCAAGGTTCTTGTTTAGGAAAGGGAGGAGAGAGAGTGGTGGGAGGAGAACGGAAGAGACAAGTGAGGTTATAAGAGCTGTGAAGGATTGCGCTATTCTGTTTCTTGTGAGCGATTGTTTGAGGAAGTGTGTCACGTGGAGGGAATGGATAAGGTCGTGAATGCAGGGAATGCCTGAGAAGAGAGAAACATACATCAAACCAATAGCAACATGAAGCACATTATCATTGAAAGCAAAATCGACAAATCCCTCCCAAAATCCCGTAATATGTCTACGTGCAGCGTTGGCAGCATTGGTAGTTCGGAGAAGTGGTTCGCTAGAGTCGAAGGCATTAAGACGTGGTCGAGGCATGGTTGATACTCTTTCCTGTTGACCTGACTAATCCAATGTTTTTTCCAGTCTTTTAACAAAAAAAAAGAAGAAAGAGAAGGAAGAAGGAGATTCAGATGTGAGTTTATAAGGGATAAATGATAAAAAGAAAAGATGGGGAAAAAAGAAAAGGAAATGAATTAATGCAAATGAGGTTTGGAAGGAAGGATGAGTGAATCTAACACCGGTGAGATGTCTTTCAGGGATGCGTATCAGTGGCTGGCACGTGGAATAATTAGAGTTATGCGCAGGGATCATGATAAGGCGCGATAAGCGCCCCCAGATTCATCGGATTATTCTTTGGCCGACTACATGTCGAAAATTAATTTTTTTCGATGTTGATGCGGCCGCTTGGATTGACCCCTCATTGTCTTTTGCAAAAGTTTACTTATTAGACTCTCAAGGAAGATATATCACGAATACGAAGCGGAAATCATTATTGACTGGAAAATTAATAATACCATTAAGAATATTTACGAAAAATGGCACCCAAATTTTCAGAAGACGAAATCGATGATTTGATTTATTTTGCTCGGGTCGGGGAGAAAGACGAATTCGAGACTTTAAGAGAGGAATTATGTAAAAGAGAAGGATGTTCAGCAACTGAGTTGTTGGAGACTGCCAGAGATAGTGAGAGTGGAAATGGCGTGTTACATATGTCTGCCGCCAATGGTCATCACGGTAATTCCCTCCTTTATCCAGTCCAAATCTGCCTCCTCCCGAGATTGGACCTCATATCTAACTAACTCCCAAACAGAACTTCTCGCCCTCCTCGCAAAACACCTCTCTAATCCCTCTCCTCAAAACCCCCAAATGCTCAAAATACTCAACACGCAAAACGCCTCTGGAAACACACCTTTACATTGGGCAGCCCTGAATGGACATTTAGAAGCAGTTAAAGTTTTAATAGAAAATGGAGCAGATCCTACAATCCAGAATCAGAAGGGACACGATGCAGTCTACGAAGCAGAATTGGCGGATAAGACTGAAGTCGTGGAGTGGGTTCTAAAGGAGGGTGGTGAAGGACTGGAAGAGGGGATTGCGGGCGATGAGGGCGAAAGCGGTGATGGAGAAGAGGGAGTGGAAGTTGTAGAAGTTGCGGAGGGAGAGGGCTTGGTGGATAAGGTTAAGGAATTGGGCATTGGCGGAAGCGGTGCTGGGGAGAAATGAACAAGTGAGGGTTTTGAAGAATTAATTTTACAAAAGAGACTCATGACGCCTAGTTAAGCCTGTCCCGTCCTTTGTTAATGATCAGACGTAGATAGCGCTGGCATTTGGATGGCTGAAGTTGTAAGTTACATTGAATTTGCGCTAGCATTGATGAGATAGTCGGCGCTCAATGGATGTATCCGGCTCATGAGCGGGGATAACATTGGGATATCCGATGAAACCAAAACGCATAATAACAAATCAAATATAGAATACCATTGAAACCTCTTCTTTGCATCCTGCTCTCTTTTTGATGATATTTAATGTCGATAGAGTATTTGAGATAGACAATGGGCCTTGAAAAACACCTGTGTCTGACTCATTCTCTGACAGAAGGCAAGGGCTATATCGTTGATAGTTTCCGGTGTTACTGAGTTACTGGATAACTCCAGGACATAAAGATCTCTAAATTAGGTCCAAAGATGTAGCCCCCTAGATACTCTCTCTCGGAAGAATACCTCAAAATCGATTTGCGTCATAATGACTCATTGTCATTCACCATAAGTATTTACACTACATATCAACCATGTATAGCTCGACGCTAAATTATTAGAATTTGAACATCGAAGTTCTGGAGAAGAAAAATTTTCCGCCATTCACCAAAAATCCTCGAACTCAATGAATGTGAACGATAATGTCTCTCATTCATCAACGAATCCAGCGAGTTCGTCTAAACTGCACGGTAGCATAGCATAGTAAAATGAACGGCCAATCGTGGCTACAAAGTTCGAAGTGATTAAAATTGAAGTCGTAGCCGACGTCAGTGGGGACGCATATGAATTTATCTTTCAATGCTACTACCGTGACTGACTCCTAAGAGGCTGTCGCGTACATGACACTACGGTACATTCCTAGTGCGTTCCACAATTGACCTTTTATCGAAGTATTAGTACGATTCTAAGAACTTTAGGGTGATAAGCTTGAGGTTTGTTGCATATCTGGATAAGAGATAACAGTGTTTGACTTTAGAATGATGATCTAGAAGCCTTGAGTTATACTTCACAAGCTCGCTTAATTGGTTAGCATAGTTTAGTGTTGTTTAGGAGGGAAATTTGGAACATGTTGCGTATCTGGATAAGAGATAACAATAGTTAGCTTTGGAATAAGTTTTCAGCCTGCATATCATATGTGATTTATTCAGGTTCTTCGGCTGAATGTTTCCGATGCTGTTAAAATTTTGCGGGGGCTTTTCTTTTCCTAAACGCAAGTTCTCATCATTGAATAAGTCTGTTTGATAACTTTGGTTTTGGTATTCAAATTATCTTCTTTGAGCCTGATTTTATGTGCCGATATCTGGTACTGCCTTTCTCAATTAGCAATCTGGGATACCGTAATGTAATCAGATATCCGCAGTCTAGTCTGATGATCAGCAGAGCACTATATATCGAACGTCATCTCTGATAGATGCAAAATAACGCCAAAGATGTATCATGGTGTCGATGAACATGTTTTTTTATTCTGTGAGCCGCGGAAGAGCTAATCGAGAAACCAAATCTAGGGTCCAAAGTCTTTTCCAGATCTCATATCAGTATGACGATAATTAAGTAACATTAGATTCCATCATTCTCTCCTCGATTCCCCATCTCAACTTCATCATTTTGATCGTGATTGCTCTCCAGAGCCTTCATCCTCGCAATAATACCCTCCAATATCTCGACTTGGGTATCAACACGCATTCTCAAATAATGATCAGTATACATTGTGTGTTCCAGACTTCGATATACCTCAAGATCCCTCAGTGTCGGCATTCCTAAGGAGGAGTTAGCGACTGTCTACACACTTTCAAAACAAGAAGGAATCAGCTCGCATACCAGTTGCACCATCAGGTCTTCTCGCATCCATGTGAGCCACATCCCGCAAACTCTGTTCAATCGTTGGAAGATTCTCGAACCATCCTTCATCAGCCCATCCTTGCATCATTTGGTAGCAGCAGAGCAAGATAGTGTGGAAAAGAGGATTGGCTGCGCGATAGGCAGGCCGATCGAAAAGGTTTAACTCATTGCCGATTCGGACGTAAACTTTGTCGGGGGAGACAGTTTGACCGATAACAAGGAGGAGTGCGAGTTCTATTTCTCGGCAGAGCAGAGAATCAGGCTTGAGTTCTAGGAGTTGTTAGTTATTCGAAACAAACAAACAAACAAACAAACGAGCAGTGGTTAGGTAATGGGAAGATAAGTCGTCCATTGAATGGGTTACCTACCGACAATTCCCTTTGCAGCGTTGACAGCCCAAGTTATTTGCAACTTGTCCATGAATTCATCAATGGCCCCAGTAACAATCTCGAGGGAGTTGTTTGGAGAGGGAAAACTATCTGATAGTAGTGGCATTATTGATTTGGTGGATTCAATGGATCGACTAGAATTTTCTGGTATGAATCTAGTAAGAAGAAATAAGTGCAGCAAAAGGCGAGACACGGATTAACAGCTGAGCCGTTGAAACTCTAGGTTGTTTTATTATAAGAAAGCTCGAGCATCAAAGTGTGGGAAACACTTTATAGCCGAGGGCTTGAATGAATATCATTCACAAAATATTTTCAGCAAGTGTTTTTGTAAACCAGTTGATAGCAGTATAGTGAATTTCCCAAAAACTTTTGGGGATGGGTGGCCAATAAAGAAAGGTTGAACAAGGTGGAGCCAATAAGGCGGATCAATATTGAGATACGAAGTTGAATAAATAGGTAGGATATATTCCATGGTGTTGTTGTTAGCTCTGATCTTATTATAAGAGTTCATACCATGATATTCCTTAAAGTAATATATCTTTATGAACGTACACAAAGCAAGAAGCAGATTGCTGTATAATATATGTCTATGTTTACTTAGTACCACACATAACGTAAGTTTCAGATCTATATAACGATGGTTTGCCAGAATAAATATAATGCAAAATTTCTGGGAGACAATGGACAATAGCATTTTATGTCGGATGGTGTCATTGGGCAGAGAATAAATCAAAATTTTGGCCTAGATTTGAGGCAACAATGAACAACTTCTCATGCCGACTGCAAGTAATAAGTACACGAGAACCTTTTCCCCTTAGAAATGAATATTTGGTCATGAGTATTATCCAAGAAAGCTATATGAATGCGCACTTGAAAAGTTTTCATGAAATGTTCACTGTCATTACATGGTTGGTACGATCACATAATTGGATGCGTAACAGCACAAAAGTATGAAGATGTAATAACTTAATGAGAGGAGAAGGTTCTTGTTGGGATGGTAAAGCTAATTGTAAATCGTACTGTATGATGAACGAACCTCTTTGAGCTCTACAGCGACCAAAAGCCTTATAGCTAAGATCAAACCCGAGACTATACTATGCAGAAAGGGTAGAATTATCCACGATGCAACGGCACATGCGTTATTGAACGAAGACAACAGAACAGGAATTTAGTTGGGTAGGTAAGAGTGTAGCAATTGAAACTGGAATACCAGGAAAAGACACCTAACACGCATATATGCTACAAACTTGATAACATAGAAGAATGGAAATCGCTAGATTAACCAGAAGAGCGGTCCAGATGATAATGGTATATAGTTGTAGTACTGAGAGTCATGTAGTGTTCTCGATAGAGAACTTTGAAAGGTTTGAGTCATTTTGCAAGACGGTCTGGTGTGTCCGTATTCACTTCCAGAGATTTCCCCCAAAGATCACATTGAAATAATTACATGCCAAAAAGCCGTAATATGCGACTTCGCGAACTCTAGAATTGGGGGGGGGGAATATCTGAGCACTTTATCAAGTCAGATATTTATACTCCAAGTACAATTTTAAAGAACTACTTGCTTCAGCGAGTGTCTATCTCTGGAAGTGTTTTTCGTCTAGAATTTTCATGCACGCCCGTACCTTCATCATCTTCTCCTCGCCATTAACATCAACGACGAGGAATTACAGGCGAAGTACAAGGCATCTCTTAAAGAGCTAGGCTTCCCATGAACTATCTAGCCAGAATCAAAATTTGTCAGCATGAAAGATGATGTAAGTCACACAAACAATATCCAGAAGAGTCGGTGTGCCCAAAGATCGGCTGTTTCTTATTGCTAAGCTACAGCGCGGACTAGAAGAAAGTTGGGCTTTTGTGGCTAACACATATCTTTAGCATCGCCATGTTATTCTAAATATCAAAACTCACAAGGCATTGAACCAAATATGAAACTGTCTATCTCCCATCCAAAAAAAAAATCGCCAAAGCTGAGTTGGCAAATCGACTTGCAACCTAGACTAAACAGATAGAGTCAAAGCAATATACTCCCATGTAATACACCAATAAGCTCATCGGTGTAGCATTTTCGAGTAGCCGCGGCGAGAGCGGTAGTGGTGGTAGCAAACTCGCTTCTGTTTTTCGATGAATGGAATCTAGCATTGATACTTGATCAGTACGGCTAAATCTATGTCAAGCAGTCAGAATTACCGTGTCTATAGTATAACAGGCTTCTTGCTCTTCCTCAAGCTTCTTGTTCCATGCAGCATTAACTATCAAACTGTATTGATTTTGAGCAGCAGCTAATGCTATTTCATAATTGGATCTCGCTCTGTACTCATTATCGCAGACGATACAGGAGCCCGACCGATATCCGTAATCGTCTCCTAGAGCGTTCAGGTTTTCTTCGTTGCCGCAGAGTCTACCGTCTTGGGACATACTGCAAAGTTGGTAGGTCCATTTTGTCCATTTGTGTGCAAGCTCGCCATTTAGGAGAAGCAAACAACCAGCAGATTGCAAGACAATAGATGAAACCTTGCACATTTTGCCCAGTGGTGGCCTCGGATCGAGAGGTCGTGATGATGTTTTATCTTGGGATTATGTTTGAAAGTAGCTGGACTGATATGACAGCAAATTCCAGATTCTATGCAAATAAAAGTCCATCAATAAATCTTGGTTACCCTTGAGATATTATTTAGTAGGCAATTAGTCACTTGTGTTACAGTGTTATGCTCCAAGCGTGGCCCAATGAATACCGATTCGAATAGACTTGGTGAACTATGGCTTGTGTTTCTTTTTCTTTGGACCCTTGGCGCGTTTGCAGATTTGTGTAACACAAAATCGCGGTGTGACTGACCCACTACAGCCGATGTCTGTATTATAGATCACTGTATATTGTTGGTGTAACAGATTAATTCAAGCCTCACAAATTGTTAGAGGATTAGTGCTATTGCCGTGTGCAAAGGAAATAGCGTAATTATAGCATGTGTGTTCTGGAATTTATAAAGCAGAGGCGGAAAAAAGATCTATCTCAGCTATAATTGTCTTTCAGACTGACAATTCAATACTAAATAGCGGTCAAAATATTCAAACAAATCGATGCTAGCGAATGACAGCATACATCTTACTGACGATTTTCTTCCTCGCTCGTCGAGTTCATTCACATTCCTTGTTCAAAAGCTTTTTATCCCGTTTCTCCCATCAAATCTTTTGCTTATTCAGATATTGCATTTTGGTTGTTGTAATCATGACGCTTTGATCATGTCATTCAGTGGCATTTTCCTAATGCGGAAATCCCCATCTCCTATTCCGGTAGCGAGACAGAAAGCTTAATAATCTAGAAACAGTGGGTGCACGGACTATTCGTCGATATCCACCTCGACATACCTAGGTATTGTCTATATAAACCATGCTATTGACACTCAATTCCCAAGTCATTCTACTCATCATCGCAGTTACTCTTTTATTGATTTTCGATCTTCCTTACCATTAAATCCAAAGAGAATCAAGCGATTGATAGCAATGGCCGATACCACAGCTACAGACAAATCCAACCCTTACTTCCCCCTTGCCGGCGGAGCAAACGACGGCTGGTCCACTGACGATGAAGCAACGGCAACATGCTTCTGCGGTGCTGTGCAACTTGCATTCGTAAGTCGAAAATCGAGAGATTAGATACCATATTCTGACACTAACTCTACCCGGCAGCCGACCCAAGGCCCTGGCCTAGTTAACACATTCATCTGCCACTGCCACGACTGTCGCAAAATCACGGCGTCAATGTTCGCATCTAACTTCACTATCGCTGATTCTCATTTAAAACACGTCCGTGGCCGCGAAAATCTGAAAGTTTTCAGTCAATCCAAGACCATCGCGACCGGATCAACAATGGCCAATCACTTTTGTGGGACTTGTGGTACGCTTATGTATCGTGTTGGCTCGAGATTTCCAAAAATGAGCATTTTGAGAATTGGAACTGTGGATGATTTTCATTTGCATGAGACGAAGTTGAGACCCAGGGTAGAACAGTTTACCGAGGGGAGAGTGGGGTGGTTGAGAGAATTGGAGGGAGTGAAACACTCTGCAGAAGGAGCCTTTTAGTTGAAGTATATGGAATACATGTAGTGGCGATATCCAGATCGCAAGAAGTAAAGCAAGAATTAAGTTCAATATCTATTTGAAATTAAAATAAGTCGGCCGTAAATTTTTTGGACATCCTCCAGTGATGATCAAAGCTTTTCTCATTCTTTCATAAATGGAAACAATACAGTCAAGTGACTTTGAGCAAACGAAAGCCCGATTATCAATTAGCGTTCGGAATATTACTGATAAATACTACCAATACAGCACAATATCTACTTCGATTAGCCTGAGTTCAAATAGATCAGCAAGGAAGACTCACCCAGCAGCGGCGCCAAATATTTCATGTCTTTTGGCCTGAGTAAAAAGTGACAAGACAGCAGAAAATAGAAGTGTAAAAATAAGTAGCACGCCAATACTAACTGTATACGTGACATCCAGGTTATGATGCTCGGTGAGCCGGTACAAAAGAAATACTGGGAGAATAAGAAGAAGGAGTAACATGAGTACGAGAAGACTCGTTACGAATATATCTTTTCGGGATTTGCTATAGAAATGAAGGTTTGGGTCTGTTGTCTTTTCTCGGTCTTCTGTGGTGCAAAAAATTGACTTTCATTTGTTAGCCCATGGGTTTATTAAAGAGATAACGTTGGTATTGTACTTGTAAGAATGCACAATGAAAGATCTGGAGGAATCTTTCGGTCATGGTATCAAGATATGCTCCTTCTCTTCCCTCACGCAAGGTGATGAGGTCATTTTTTTCGTATATGAATCCTTGCTCCTCGTCAACGAGAGGTTTCTTGTCAAAAATGTATCGCTCGACGCTTCGATAATCACTATCGGCAGGACGGTTCATGGCATTCACATGCTGAGACCGGAGTAGTAGCTCGTCTAAGATACATAAGTTCGTGCGTAAGTTTTTGATTGTGGTCAATTGGGAATGCTCACCGTAAGCAGCTAAATTTGCTTCTATTTCGTCCAGAACTATAGTCCTCGTCCGAAGAGTTGGATCTTCAGCGAGCTCCTTTCTCTCAGCTGCTATATCTGCATTTCTAGATCGCGCCCGTCGTTTATCGGGTGCGTCTTCTGCTTCGTCGAGATCATCAAGTTCGTCTAGCTCCATTTCGAGTCGACGAATCTCATCCTGTTTGCGGAGAAGTAAACGCGAATGAAGATATCCGAAGCGTCGATAAATTTTGAAGTTTTCATCGCTGTCTAGAAATATACTTAAAGATCGGTAGCTTTTTTGATGTTCCGACACTATGAAAGAAGTTATTGGCCAATAAATTCAATGTTTATTTTTGTTACACAAACTTACGACTTCTCACATGGGGTTTTCGCAAGTCCTCATCAGTGGTAGGTTTTGATGTTTGCCAAGGGCGCCATTGAACAAATGATTCTCGATATTGAGAAACTTTTCTGGACGTAGGAGTAGATGAATTTGTTGCAAAAGTGCTCCCTTTAGAGAATTTAGTAGAAATGGTGGGTGAAGTACATGGGGAGTTGAATAATGGTAACGTGTTAGAAGCCATTTTATTTTAGTTTTTGCTGAATTAATGAGGAAGATGCGAACATCTGCTAAACAGAATAATGTAGTTTATATCAACGTTTCAATCAGACTTAGCCGTGAGGCGATGAATTCTGCCAACGCAAGCTGTACCATTTTTCTCATTTTCAAAAGATGGGCGATGGCGATGCCTGCGAGAAGCACTCAGCCTAGATACACGGCTACAAATGGCGAGTTGCATAAGAGCTTATGCAAGTATAGCCTGTCATGTACCACCAATAGAATCCCGACCCCACCATAAGCCGCATAATCAAGCTGAACTGAGCCTTTCTTGCTTGACCCATTCACCTTCCTTATACAGAGCCCCAGTCTTTGGGTCCTTGACTTGATACACGAATTTTCCCTTCTCTTGCTTTCTTGCAAAGATTCTGAATTCAAAATTCCCTTTCCTTGGAATGCTCAACCAAGCACTATCCTCTACATTGAACAACGCCATCGACTAGCTTGATAATCAGAATCATCCATCAAAATGGAATTGAGGGAGTACTGACATCCGAAGGATTCTTAGACTCTGTATAAATTGAACGGTCCTCAGGCGTCTGTGGTCTCTTTTGGAAATAAGTAAGACTAGTAATTTATCTTGTGCAAGCTGTGAACTCACCGTAATCTCTGTCTCAATTGACAGTATTTCCGACATTTTGTGAGGCGGATTGATGGACTGGTCTTTTGGAATCGTATATATTGAAGACAATGATTACGAGGTTTTGATTTGAAGAGAATTGAATATGCCCGGAGGAAAGCCTTACGAAGAGATCTTTAAATCAACCCTTCTAAGGCTCTGCAGAGCCTCGATCTGACATTACCTGCATAATGATATGGATTACAAGCAGTCATACGCTTACGACCATTGTGGTCACCGATAGATTGACCAAAGAAACGAAGGATTTACAGTGGGGCTTATCTTCAATCTGCTCAGCCACACCATCCCTCATCTTTTGTATGTCCAACCTTTCACACAATTGAATTGAGAACTCATACATAAGTGGCGATTCTCAGGAGTACCCCTCTGGTTCGTTGCGAAACACCAACCAGAAAGGATCTATCTTACGAAGCTACTAAATTGCGTTCTAGACTTCCTCGCGGTGTCTAAACTACGGAATGGCCTCCAGCAAGTCAAATTCTGTTTTGAAACCTGACCATGATAGCAGAAGAACTACAGCTCCAACCATAATTATTCCCCCAACCGACTACCAAGACAAAGAGGCATCGAATGATTCCAAATTCAAGGCGATTTTCGATGAGCATATGAGTGCAAAGAATGCCTCGGTTGCATACCGCGAAGTACATGTTCTTCTGTTGTCATGGGACCGTAATGTCGATGATCTACATGTAGAGAAAGAGGTAATAAATTATCATTAGGGACTATCTCTTCAATGATGCTGACGTTAGCAGGTTGCGGATCTCGAGAATGTATTTCGGGATATTTTCAAATATAAAACAACACAAAAGATTCTGCAGCAGAATCCGAGTAAGCACCCGCAAGTTCAAATAAACCTATATCTTGCCCAGTTCGTTGCGGATCATGATGATCCAAATACTCTTCTTATTGTCTACTATGCTGGGCATGGCAAACAGAGCGAGGATGGGGATGGATTAGCTTTAACTCCGTAAGATATGGAAGACTTACCCCAGATGTGAAAATTTCTAATAGGAAATTAGATCAACAACTCAGCCAGATGAGGAAAATGAGTTACACGAAATTGTCTGGAGCTCCGCAGAACACAACATACAGAACACCAAAAGTGACGTTCTAGTCATATTTGACTGCTGCAATGCTGGCGAAATGGATCGCAATGTTCGTGGCTCTGACTTCACCAGAAGAGCATTTGAATACATGGCTGCAACTTCTCAGAATTCAACTACGAGAAAGCCAGGTCCTAAATCATTTACTGTTGCCCTCATCTGGGCCTTGAAAGAATTAGTCCGGTCCAAGACCGGGAAGCGTTTCAGTACGCAAGAACTGGTTCGAAAGATTTACCAAGCGCCCAATTTTCCAGAGACTCAGGCGCCAAGATTAACAGAACGAGGCCCGATAGGGTCTTTGAGAAAAATTGTCCTAGTTCCTCTGGATCAACAATCAAAATCT